AGACGTACTGGCGCTGTGTCGGAATACTGACAAAAACATGTTCGAGGCGGACCAGATCAGCCACGTGTCCAAAGGCATTGCTGATGATGCTTTCAACATACTAATGTGCAAGAACTGCGCCATTGTCGACTCCATCATATCTGAATGCCGACGATTTGAAAAAGCTAAAAGCAGGCGAATAACCAACCACATCACGAGACTACCAAACACTGCTGCGACTTCGTCTTGCGAGGATTCTGCAGCACCCCGTTCACTTGCGCTTCCTGTCAATATCGCAAGGATTGTTCGCCAGGAGCTGGAAGCCGTGGCACCCGCTTCCTATCAGCCCCCTGCACAAGACAACTGGGCAACAGTCTCGCTTATTCAAGCCGTCGTACGTCAGGAGTTTGCTAACCGGGGCGTCCAGGTTCCGCAGCCCGCCAGACTAATGCCGCAGCCCCTGAGCACTCCAGTCCACAATTCTGACCACCACTCTGCCCCACTTGTCGCTGCGGCAGCTGCAACTCCTCGGTTTCCAACACGCTACCGAAATCCATCTGAGTGGCGCACGCACGATGATCGACCCATCTGCTTTTCTTGCTCTCGAGCTGGGCACATCTCCCGCCATTACCGGAACAGGTGGTATTTCCGGCCAAGCTTTCCTAATGTCGACCGCCGTCACAACCGTGGACACTATTCGCAACCCGGTTTTCCGGATGACCATAATCAGGACCCTTCAGCACGCCGTTTATCTCCACGCTCTGAACCGTCCTACGCTGACGTCGTCGCCCAGAGAAACTGGTCTAGCCGCTCGCCGTCACCTCAGGGTCGGCCGTCACGCTCCCCTCAACGCCGCCGCTCTTCGTCACCGGCTTATTCTGGCCATTCCCCGGGAAACTAACGAGTGCAGCTCCTGGAGGTGGCGCTGCGTTGACGACTCGAAACGAAAACCCTCAACCGGCTACAAATTCAAGACGCAATTTACTTCGGGTGTTCGTTGATGGCCGCGCCGTTACTGCTCTAATTGTCACTAGTGCCCAAGTATCTGTTATGAGCTCTACACTTTGATCTCGCCTGAAAAAGGTTCTCACACCGGCTATGTTCTCTACTGTTCGAGTTGCCAACGGAAGTCGAACATCGGTGCTTGGTATGTGCACTGCCCGCGTCACTGTTGCTGGCCACCACACTTCCGTTCTCTTCGCAGTCCTCGATGCTTGCCCACAAGACGTCATCCTTGGAATTGACTTCTTAACCGCCCACTCCGCCCTCATCGATTGTTCCACCGGTATCTTACAGTTCGAATTGCCATTTTGCACCAATTTCACTTCTCCAAGTCGCACTCGGCTACGATCCGTGGAGTCTCTACGGCTACCACCCCAGGCTGCTATGCAAATTCCTCTGTCGCCCTTCCCGTCCGTTCCTGATGGAGACTATCTGGTGGCTCCCCTCATTGATTTGACCCTTACGCACCACATTGCACTACCACATCCTATAGTGGTTGTTGCTAACAACACGGTGCTACTTCCAGTTCTGAACTTCTCTACGTCGACCCAACTTCTTCCCCAAGGCATCACTTTAGCCGATCTTTCCACCCTTGATGAATGTTCGATTTGTTCTTTTACCCCTGACACTAAGACCATGGCGAAACCTGTCATCACGTCGCAAAACAAGGCGTTCCTCGACAAAATGATATCCAGTGACCTCTTACCTTCCCAAGTTGCGGCGCTCCGGGGTGTTCTATTTTCTTACCTTGATATCTTTGACGTCGACGACCGTCCCCTGGGCCGCACGAGTGCCGTAAGCACCGCATCGACACCGGCGACGCCATTCTACTCCAAAAACGCCCTTATCGCGTGTCACATGCTGAGCGCAAAGTTATACAGACGGAGGTCGAGAAAACGCTGAGTAAAGACGTCATTGAGCCTTCATCGAGTCCTTGGGCATCCCCTGTGGTCTTAGTTAAAAAGAAGGACAACACCTGGCGCTTTTGCGTCGACTATCGCCACCTGAATCAGATCACCAAGAAGGACGATTATCCTTTACCCTGAATCGATGATGCGCTCGACTGCCTCCGCGGCACCAACTATTTCTCGTCCCTCGACCTTCGATGCGGATACTGGCAAATTTCGGTCGACGACCGCGGCCGCGAGAAGACAGCATTCATCACACCCGACGGCCTTTACCAATTCAAGGTCATGCCTTTTGGGTTGTGCAATGCCCCGGCTACTTTTGAGCGTATGATGGACTCTCTTCTTCGCGGTTTCAAATGGTCGACCTGCGTTTGCTATCTGGATGATGTAATCATTTTCTCGCCCTCCTTCGAAAGCCACCTGTCTCGTCTCTCGGCAATTTTGGACGTTTTTCGTTGCGCTGGTCTCCAACTGAATTCCTCGAAATGCTCATCTTGACGCCAGCAGATTAAACTACTCGGCCACCTTGTTGACGCAACTGGTGTTCAACCCGACCCTGACAAAGTCCGTGGAGTCCGAGAATTCCCGGTTCCGCGTTCCACACAAGAAGTTCGCAGTTTTACTGGGCTCTGCTCATAGTTCCGCCGCTTTGTCTTCCATTTTGCGGATATTGCTAGGCCCCTCACAGATCTCCTCAAAAAGAATGTGACCTTTTTTTGGGGAAGGGACCAAGAACATTCCTTCGCGTCGCTAATTACCACCCTCACATCACCCCCTGTGTTGGCTCATTTTGATCCAGTGGCTCGAACAGAGCTTCGCACCGATGCAAGCGGCCATGGCATTGGTGCTGTACTCGCTCAGATACAGAATGGCACCAACCGTGTGATAGCCTACGCTAGCCGCCTTTTGTCGCAAGCGGAACAAAATTATTCCATCGCTGAGCGGGAATGCTAAGCCCTCGTTTGAGCTATTGTGAAATTCCGTCCGTACTTATACGGACGTCCGTTCGCAGTCATCACAGACCATCATGCGCTTTGCTGGCTGTCGACGCTTAAGGACCCTACAGGCAGACTCGGCCGATGGGCACTTCAATTACAGGAGTACACGTTCTCGGTTGTTTACAAATCTGGAAAGCTGCACAGCGATGCTGACTGCTTATCCCGGCACCCCGTTGATTCACCTAGCTCCACTGATTTGGAATTCGATGGCTGCGTTTTAGCCATCACTGACTTTCGGAACGTGGCCAACGAACAGCGCTGAGATCCATCACTGCTCATCATCGTTGACCACCTTCAATCGTGTTATGCTGACCCTTCCCCTAGCAGATACCTACTTCAAAACAACGTTTTCTACCGCCGCAACTTACACCCCGACGGCGCGGAACTTTTACTCGTCGTACCGCATCACCTGCGAAAGGATGTTCTGCGACAATTCCACGACGCTCCATCTTCTGGACATCTAGGAGTCTCCAGAAATTACGACCGCATTCGACGACGAGTATTCTGGAAGGGCCTCTACTGCTCTGTTCGCCGTACGTCGCATCATGCGACCTCTGCCAGCGCCGAAAGAAGCCTACGACTCCCCCTGCCGGTCTTTTTCAACCTATTGAAGGTCCAGCCGAGCCATTTTATTGAGTGCGGTTGGACTTGCTAGGTCCCTTTCCTACTTCTACAACTGGAAATAAATGAATTGTAGTGGCCACAGACTATGCCTTCGGTATGCAATCACTCGAGCACTACCAACCAGCTGCGCAACCGACGTTTCCGACTTCCTGCTGTACGACAATATTCTCCACCATGGCGCTCCGTCTCATTTGCTCACAGACCGTGGTCGCTACTTTCTACCTCGTGTGGTTGATGATCTACTCCGATCTTGTGCTACCCGTCACAACTTCACCACATCTTACCACCCTCAGACTAACGGCCTTACGGAGCGCCTAAACCGCACATTGACAGACATGCTTGGCTTGTACGTATCTACCAACCACACTGATTGGGACATAGCTCTTCCGTTTGTAACCTTTGCCTATAACTCGTCGCGTCATGAAACAGTGGGCTACTCCTTTTTTTATCTACTCTTCGGACGTCATTCCTTACTGCCTTTCGACACACTGTTTTCATCAGACCACCCATTCTCCACTTCGTACGCTCAGGATGCGATCACCCGGGCCCTCACGGCACGCGCGTTAGCGCGCGCTTGATTATCGTCGTCGCAGACAGCACAGAAGTTCCTTTATGACCGTCGACATAAAGATGCCGTTTTTTCTGCGGGATCTCTTGTTCTCCTGAGGCACGTAGCACGTAGCACGTACCTAAATTTAGCTACAAGCCTACGTACTTCAGGTACTCGAAGTTTCACGAGCCCTACATTCACTACAGTGTCTCTAATAATCATATCGTGGTATTCACATTGAATCCCCCAACGATTCCTATTCTTGGCCTTTGCACCTCCCCCAGTTTTGCACTGCTTCTGTCATCGGCACACTTTTGACCAAGTGACATGGCCACGTTTGGGAACGTAATCACGTGAGGCAGATTTGTCGCATCACACGTGTTAACTCCCCCACAGCGGCCAGATCGACATTTGAGGCCGATGGCGAATCTTCGCATTTGAGAAGGCATCGAAAGAATTCGCCTCAAGGATGCTCACCGATGTATGTTTTGCTCATTCTAGAGTGTATGCACAAAACACGCATGGACTCTCTCTTTTTTTCGTTCATGCCAAGGCACTGATTTTCTTTGACTTAATAATTAATCCCTTCAGCGAGTGAAAACAATAACGTATATCACTAGTGCAGATGAGGTCAGTGAGTACGCTACGCTCTATCGGATAAAGCTAATGCCATCTAGTTATTTTGACTTCTTGTGTCTCGATCAAGTGATTATGCGTATTCTATCTCCCCTTTCTATAAGCCACTTGGTGAATAAACAAAACTGCGCTTACAGCACAGCGAAATAGCACGTATTGAGAATAACGAGTTTCGCGCAAGCTAGCGGGGTACCCAAGTCGGCATTTCATTTAGGTATACTTCGTGTTTTCCTCTCGATTTGGGCTGGCTACAAGCCATGCGCAACGAAGTGGCACAACTGATAATTTGTGACCTCATTTCAGTACTCCTACCTCCTCAAAGGCGAACCCAAAAGTGTGCAGAAAGAAGAGACCTTTCGCAACAGCCTACGCTCTGTGGATACCCTTCTTGGAGACAAGCCGAGGCGTTTCCTCACAGGACCACAGATGACGTTGGCTGACGTGGCGCTCATGGAGTCTCTCACTCTTCCTGAGGTCAGTAGTGTGTCGTAGCAAGTCAGCCAGATTACGAAGCTGGAAATTTTTCCTGCGTGATATTAGCAGAACTGATCTTCGAGTAATCAATTATTTAGTTTGCACTATTGTGTAAAACAGTATGAGCGAATGAGTCTTCGCTTTGAACTGTGAATCAGTTTACGAAGCGGTTTTTTGCTAGGTTATCTGGAAAACTAATCATCATCACGAGCAAGGACTGTACCACAAAAGTTGAGTAAATCGCTCTGTTCACTTCTGGTTCAGTAAAGATAAAGAAGCCAACAGTTAGCATAACATATTACTGCTAAGTGATGACAACGCGCTGAAGACCTCGATTATGTGTGATGCGAAAATTTTAAGGAACAGGAAAGGAAACGGGGGCTGCGAGAAAACCCGAAAAGGTTGAAAGTTTACTCCTACTGTGATGTGCCTGTAACTTTATGAAAGCTGAAAACGTTTGGTATCAGTGTGAGTTTTCGTCTACGGAGTCCAAACATTCATGTGGGGTACGTGACTGTCTATGGTATACCTCGAACTCCTGCATGCTGACAGTCAACGTAGAAAGAACCTTGCGTCACCTTACTAAAGAGTAGCAACAGCCTATAGAAGCTCCCTTGACCTTTAAATACCTGACCTAGTCAATACAAAAAAAAAACGTGCACAACATTCGGCTTCTTTGGATCATGAGTGCAAGAACTTCCAAGAAAACATATCTTCTAAGCTGCTCCAAAGAGTGTGATTGAAGTGGACAGACACAAAATACAACATAGGCAGTGGAAGGACATGTGCCAATCACGATAAATCGGCCTCCTGTCCCCTTAAGGCCAGTAGTGATGCAGCAGACGTCGTTTTCTGCTGTACCTGCGAAAAACAATTTCGCCAGTATTGGACTCTTTAGAACCATTGGCTTTCGTGCCATTGTTGTCAATTACAACCTAATTGTAATCCCTATCTGGTCGCCTGTCTGCGTCTGGCGAACCTGGGTCATGTCTCGAGGTCACGGATGTTCCGGTTTTACCAGCTTCCGTCTGCGGTGCCTCCACCCTGGGCTCTTGCTCGACTTCCGCTTCCCTGTCGGCAAGTCGCGCGCTATTGATTTCACTTGCTCTCAGGTGGGCGAAATGCCAGCAATGATTCTCGCTGTCTGGAGCCTTGATGGTTGCCTTCTGGCCTTCGGGGGCTTGCCCAGTGCCAGCCACCACCTGGCTCGTGTCTCGTAGTTCCTGTAGCAAACAGTCTCCTACTTGGCGTGTGGTTCCTGGATGATTACTACCTGCGTGAGAGAATGGATGACATGACACGATGTTATCCAAATTTCTCCGAGACTCGAAACCACGCGGCCCCACAACGGTGGTCTAGTAGTTAAGGCACTCGGCTGCTGATCCGCATGTCGCGGGTTCGATTCCCAGCGGTGGCGGCTGCATTTCCAATGGAGGCAGAAATGTTGTACGCCCGTGTGCTCAGATTTGGGTGCACGTTAAAGAACCCCAGGTGGTCGAAATTTCCGGAGCCATCCACTACGGCGTCTCTCATAATCATATGGTTGTTTTGGGACGTTAAACCTCAAAAATCAATCAATCAATCAATCAATCAAAACCACGCAGCACGAACTTTGATGTTTTACCACTGGGCAGGCATGCGACGACACTGCGACATAATTTGGTGTAATCAGCCTGCAGTGTAACACTGGCGTCCTTGCGCATTCTGCCCTTTCTGTTAGACTGTTGGACTGCGGTAGATACGACGTGGTGCGTAAGTGGCAAATTTCGCTTTCATTCCTGAAAGACAGAAAGTGAGCATTAGTGATGTCTTTGTCATTGATTGGTATGTGGGGCTGAGCGTCCCGAAACAGCGATATGAATATGAGAGATGCTGTAGTGGAGGGCTCCGAATGTTTCGACCACCTGGTGTTCTTTAACGTGCACCCAAATCTGAGCACACTGGCCTACAGCATTTCCGCCTCTATTGGAAATGCAGCCGCCACAGCCGGCATTCAATCCCGTGACCAGCGGGTCAGCAGCAGAGTACCTTACACTAGACCACGGTGGCGGGGCAATTTGCCACTACCAGAAACCCTTGTTTGGGCAGGTCAAACCTACTAAACATAGCTTGTAAGGCTCTCACATTCCGTCCTACTCTTGCTATCTTTACTGCGCTAACCCCCATTCACTTCATATGCGAGCCAGCTGCCATGTGCAACATATTTCCATGAGCTCCTGACGTTGACGAAGGGAGCAGACTTCAGGTCGAAGATCAAACTGTTTATTTGGGCCGCAAAAAGGAAGTAAGATTACAGCAAGGCACCGGAATTGATAGTGACGAACAAAGCGTCGGCCGTAGATCAACTGGCGAGCGCTTAAGCGCGTCGGCTTTATACACATGCCGTCAAATATTCTAGCGTTATCGCTAGTGGCCACGTAGGCTTCACAATAATCTGTAATGCTCGTGATGTGGGCGTGATCTTCAGAAATAATCTGCTGCAGTACCGAAGTTTCTCTTAATACTGCAGGCATGGTTTGCGCTGACAATTACTGACAGTGAGACGGGGCGATACCATAATTTGGAATGTAGCGATACATCCATCAACCGGGCCACCATAGTTTACGTGCACCCTTGACCACTTTTCCTTGGGTTTTGGTCATGACAAAGGCTATTTTGGAGCTCGTATGCTGCAGCGCTGCGCACTTAGGGCGCATGTGTTTACCACACGTTCATTGTCCTGATCCAGCCCAGGATACCGAAATAGCACGCCAACTGCTTCACCGACGTTGTACCCCTATGCGTCTAGCGCAGCATGCCCAACACAATATTCCGAGGGGCGACTGAAATTTTTGTTTTGTACTCGTTGTTTACGTGTAGCTACTGAGAAAAAAAGATCGACGTTGTACCCGTGGCACTGCTAAAGCTCGTTCCAGCTTGTCTGGACCGAGCAATTGCAGTAGTGGCTTGCAATCATTAGTTAGCGTAAAAAGTCTTACCCAGAAGGTGTTCACGAAATTCGGTGACCCGAAAGGGTATTGCCTGTGCTTCATGTTCTATCTGTGTGTAATTCCGCTCTGCTGCAGTCAAAGGGCGCGGTCGCAATCACACTGACTTCGCATCTTCTGTGATTCTGCGGTATAAGACAACCCCGATGCCTTCAGACGGCGCATCTGTTTTTACCACGAGAGGCTTTCCCAAGTTGAAATACTCGGGGATCTTGACACCTAGAATGAGGCATTTGGTTGCTTCAAAAGCGGTCTCTTGTTTTGCTCTTCACTGCCAACGGGCATTTTTCTTACATTTCATACAAAGGCGCGAGAACCGTGGACAAGTTGCCAAGGAAAGCGTTATAATACGTCACAAAGCCGGCGAATGGTTGCAGCCCCAACGTGCATGTCGGGCTTGGAATTTCTGATTGTGCTTCAATATTTTCCTCTTTTGCAAACGTCTGTGGGCATGCGCAGTGCCCAAGATACTCAACGTCTTTCTCTTGTATTTTACGTTTGCTTGGATCAAGCTTCAAACCATTGTCTTGAAACATCTGAAAGATTTTGTGCAGGTTTTCGCAGTCGTCTCGCTTTTCTGCCAATACCGCATCGTGCCAATAGCCCTAAACGCCTGGTGTTTCTCGAAGGGTGGCTTCCATGCGTCTCTGCAAAATTGCTGAGGCGGACGCCACAGCCAAAATGAGCCGGTTGTAGCCGAAAGAACCATTTGCCATGCAAACTACTGGAAGCTTCTTTGCGTTGTCATGTAGAGCTAAGCAACTATAAGCGTCCTACACATCAATTGTGGAGAACAATTTGGCTCCATTTCAGTTAGCAAAAACATTTTTGATAGCGGGAAATGGATATTTTCTTTCGTCTGGCAAGTAGCGTTGACTCCCTTTGAAGTCAGCGCAATGCCGTGTAAACCAATTTTTTTAAAATACCAGAACAATAGCCGTTTCTCTGTCAGCGCAAGCAACAGCTGTCAAGGTTCCTGTCTGAACAAGAGGATCTAAATATTGTCTTACGGCTTCTCTTTTTGCGCAAGGCGTGGCACACGCTCTAAGTAAACGATGTACAACACTAAGGCGCAAGCGCCACACAACCGGAGGCTCTTTGACTGACCCTTGCTGTTCGAATATACAGTGCTGAAACACGTCTAATGACTGCTGCTCTTGTTACTCATCCATGTTTGACCGGGGGCAGCCTTCATTCTGACGGTGAGAACTTGCATTTTCTGCTGTTTAAAAGCTTTGACAATGTCCCGCCTCCACAAATCCGGCACAGAGAACCACCAAGGTAGTTTCAAGTGTGATACCGCTGTTGGTTATCGAGACGTTGAGCTGGTCATTGACGGTACGTTTACCGTGCAAACAAATCGATTGTAAGGCAATTTTCTGGAGTGGAGGACAATGGTGACTTTATTTGTTGTAGGTAGGTTATGTGATGGTTGTTACAGAGGAACCTTTATACTTGCATTCGAAAACCCACGCTATCACAATCCAGGGTGCGATAAATTAACTTGACCATGTTCATTGACGCTGCTTTCATGTTACGCAGAAATTATTATTTTATTATTGCATTTCACAGATAACTTGTTCCTTTAATTTATATCTTCATTGATTGATATGTGGGTCTTATCGTCCCCAAAACAGCATATGATTATGACAGACACCGTAGTAGAAGACTCTGGATATTTCGACCACCTGGGGTTCTTTACGTGCACCCAAATCTGAGCACACGGGCCTACAGCATTTTCGCCTCCATTGTCTTTTTGGGAGTGAAGCTGCTGGCACACACGAGCTATGTTCCCTTGCCCCTTACAAGTGAACCACTTAACGGAACTTGCATTTTCCTTCAAAGCGTGGCAATTTGCGCTAGTTTGTAGGACATGACGAATGGTATAGTGTGAGCTCTGAACGACGACAAAGGAACAAGAAAAAGAGCGCTCGTCTTCTTGTCCCTTTGTCGTCAATCTAAGGTCACCCTATAACAGTTTTCATTGCGTTTTCCCGCGTTATGACCACTTTT